CAAAAAAAAAAAAAAAATTATTATTGTTGCTACTTCATAAGTATAATTTTGCTACTGTTATGAATCATGATGTAAATATCTGATAGGCAGGATATCTGATATGCGACCCCCAAAGGGGTCATGACCCACAGGTTGAGAACCCCTGAGTTAAAGTTTGGACCGTGATTGTTGGCTCTGAATTCACCTCTTCACTGAGGAGAACTCCAGGCTCTGGCACAAGGGTGGTCCAGCCTGCCCCGTGCAGGGATGGCTGATTTATGCGATGGAACGCGGCATTATCAACCAAATTTCAATATTTGGCACGTAGTACTTAAATATCCTATTTAAAAATATTTATTTTACTTTCAGTTATGTGCACGCACATGTGTCTGTGTGTGGATATGTGCACGTGAGTGCAGGGACCTGAGGAGCCTAGAGGTGCTGAATCCCTCACAGCTGGAGGTCCAGGTGGTTGTTAGCCACCCACTGCGGGCTGCTGAACACTGAACTTGAGTCCTTTGTGAGAGCAGTATTTGATCTCAGCTGTTGACCCATCTTCCAGCCCAGAAGTATGATATTTTAAACATACACTTTAAATGGCTGACGTGGATTGGTCCAGCCCGAAAGAACTATAGCCTGGGACATGTGTGGCCAATGACATGGGCTCCTGCCACCAAGTTTCACCTGCCCTTCAGGTGAGTCCAGAGGGCCATGTCTCCCCACGGACGACTGAGCTGGTTACAGGTAACATCTGCTCTGTCCTGCCAAAGACTCTTCCTGCCTTGGTAGCAGAGCAGCCCTTCCCTAAGGTCATCAGGGTCCCACATCCTCTAGACACTGTACACACACCAGGGAAAAACATTCTAATGCATTGAAGTCCGAGCTCTAGGAGGAAAGCGGCCCTTTGTGACCCTTGTTGGAAGGAGCTGGAAACCCCAGAAGACCAGCTTTTCATTCAGTGGGACTGTGCAAAGAAACTACATCCTTGTCAGAGACACCAAATGTATCCAAGGAAAAGCCAGCCTCACCCCTGCATGGTGGCGCAGGCTGAGAACCATCAATACCACCAAGGCCAGGCCCAAAGCACACAGGCTCAGGCCCTCCTAGGGGTACATCTGTCTCCCCAGATCCCTTCTGTCCAATTCCAAACAAACGCTAGCTTAGAAAAATGTCCCAGCACAACCTCCAAGGCCAGGCCCGAGCCTCAGAACCCTCCTTCACAGGTCTATCCCACCAGGGACCCCCACAGCCTGCCCTCCCTATCCATGGCTCTCCATACCGTCCCCACTTCTGAGCCTCTTGACCTTGGAATATAATCGTGACACTGGGTTTTATGTTTTACAGCATTTTTGTGTACCCCTTTCCAGTGTTTTTCATGGATTTAAACTTTTTCTTCCTACAGCGGTAGTGAGCTTTCATGTCTTTGGTTATAGGGATTAACAGTAGCCGAAGACAGAAATGCTGCTTCTGTTCACCTTTAATTAACCTTCACTTCTTATTTGTGTGTTTTACAGAGTCTGTGATGGTTAATATTGTCAACGTGACAGTATCGAGACTCTCCAAACGGCAAACCTCAGGACCCGTCTGTGGGGGAGCCTCTAGATTGAGTTAATTGGTGTGGGGCAACCCACCTAAATGAGGGGTCCGCACTGGCCCATGGGCCGGGGTCTTGGGATGAATAAAGAGGAAGAAGCCAGCTGAACACCAGCATGCATCACTCTGTTCCCTGACTGCAGATACAAGTGACCAGCTGCCTCAAGATCCTGCTGCCAGGCCTTCCCTGCCATGACAGACTACCCCAGAGACAAAACCAACCCTCCCTTCCTTCAGCGGTTTTCCTCGGGTACTTCATTTCATCACAACAACATGGAAAGTAACTAACGCAGTATCGGTGAGTGTGGCGGTGGAATTTACATACAGCAGGGACGGAAGCCGGGAAAGGCCCCCGTCCTGAGACTGAGCCTGGAAACACCCAGAACCTCGGAAAAACACAACGCCAGGCCCAGAACCAGCTTCCTGAAGGCTGCAGGGCAGACTCACCACTATTGCCAAGCCCACCTATGCCCATATTGATTAGCTAAACAGGAAGACCCAACATGGAAACCAGATACACAAGCCCCAGGGAAGCGATGGCTTTGGAAGATCCTTGCTTCCCCTGAGCTTGGAAGAGGCCTAAAAGCCAGGGTCCAGTGGGCTCAGGATGCTGGGCCACGTCCACACCCTGGGCTTCAGGAGTGGCAGCTTTGTTGGACAAGGGTGAGGTCGCTGGCCCCGCACCAGTGGGCAGAGCAGCCATCCCTGGTGGACAGCTGCATCGCGCAAACCCCGGCAGTCCAGTGAGGCTGGCAGCTGTGGGCAGATACGCATCTCGGAAAGCAAACACAGGTGGGACCTAAGTCAAACAAAAGGCCACGGGAGCCGGGACACAGCGGGTGTGGCCATGCCTATCTTCCAGGATGCTCCTGGCACACCGGGCACTGTGGCCACAGGGACAACAGGGGAGGGGCAGGGTGATACCTCTCCTCAGGTGTCAGAAAGGACTCCTTGGACAGGGCTATCAGATTCTGCACCCCTAAACCTGTCTCCATCCCAAGTCTGGAAGTTGAAGCTCACCTGTAGTTAGGGGTGCCAGGATTCAGGGTGGTTCACGGAAGTCCCCTAAGCCCCCTAAAGGGCCAGGGGGTCTCAGTCTCAGGACCCCCCTGAGATTACTGATGGGTCAGTTCTGGAGTCCAGGTTGATGAGAAGTGGGGAGGTGATCTGCCTGGGTCCCCCCACCGAGAAGCTCAGGACGTGATGGATTCCATGGTCCTGCGGGGCTCACAGCGGCTGTGGCAGGGTGAGTGGGGTAAGACACAGCCGCCCAGCTGCTCACCTGCCCTGTGGGAGGGAGCGGCCCAGGCTGCAGGTCACGATCCAGCAAGGCCAGCGTCCTATGGCTGCCTGGATGTACCTGCGGTGGTGAGAGCTGATCAGTCCCACCCAGCTGCCAGGGTGTGTCTCAGGTCTGTGCTGAAGTTTCGTGGGGGTGGCAGGAAGGAGGGCGAGGCCCAGGATTCCAGGCCTACGGAGCAGGGCTGTGCAGACAGAAACACAACTGCCCCATGTTGAGCATTGTAGGCAGGTGGCTGGAAGCCCGGCTTCAGCGCTGCCTGAGGCTACTCAGATCTGCATCCATGGCGGTAAAGTGAGACGATGCAGGCAGCGGCAGGGGTCGGAGCACGGGCCGCTGCGTGCGCACGGAAAGCACTCACGATGTG